ATGAGTGACCTCAACTCCAGCTCAGTCCTAGAGGTAATTGCAAGACGCCTACCTACTCGGCTGCAAAGGAAATGGGTAAAAATAAGCTCTCGTATAGAGGAGGAGGGTATCGAGCCAAGGTTTGATGATATTCTTAGACTGGTGAAGGACAGTGTCAACCAGGCGATGGGCAAATTCGCCAGCATTTTGCATTCTAAGGTAGAACCTAAGGAACCAGTGAATATAAGGAAGGCATTTGTGGTGAAGTCTCAAGACACAACGAGAAAGGATGAGTGTATTGTCTGCCATAACATGCATCAATTGAGTGATTGTAATCGCTTTATCGCTATGTCACCCGTAGAAAGGTTAAAAATGGCAAAGCAGAAGCGGCTGTGTTTCAGTTGTTTAAAGATTGGGCATACAAAGTGGAATTGTAAGGCGACAAATAAAGGAAGTAGTGGTTTAACGGATATGCACCCACTTCTGAGAACAGTGAACGAACCTGGGAGTTCGGTTAATTGTAATAGTATCTCTAGACCCCTTGACATCCCACAAGTTTTCTTAGGGGTATTACCAGTTAAGGTGAAAGGACCGAAATCTTCAGTAGAGACTTATGCATTGTTGGATAATGGTTCAGACGTTACATTGATAGATGCTGAACTGGCTGGTTGCTTGGGTATTAAAGGCCCAAAGCAACCCTTGGTTGTAAATACTTTCAATTCTGCGAAAACAGTAGTATGTGAGCGAGTGTCATTTCAGTTAGAATCCTTGGCTACTGGGGAGACCGTGGAAGTGGATACTGCTTACACTACCTCCAGTATGAAACTTGGCGAAGCTATAGTACCTAGTCGTGAAACGGTTGTCGGTAAGCCATACCTGTGTGACATACCTCTTCCAACATTGCAAGATGGAAGAGTGAGAGTACTCATTGGATGTAGTGTGCCAGAAGCTCACAAGGTATTAGAAGAGAGATTTGGAGGTAGAGATGATCTGTTTGCGACAAAAACACCACTGGGATGGACAGTGAGAGGACCTATACCCATAGTCCACATATCATCATTAGTTACAAACGATGGGGACAAACTAGAAACTATGATTAAAAATATGTATGACAAGGAGTTTTGTGACTGCGGTGTCCCAGGGAAGGGTCGTTCTGTAGAAGACTTAAAAGCAGTTAAAATAGCCGAGGACTCTTGTAAATACGAAAACGGGCGTTTCAGCGTTGGCCTACCATGGAGATTCAAAGATAGACAGTTGGTTTGTAATAGGAAAGTTGCTCTTAAGAGACTAATGGGTTTACAGAAGAAATTCCTGTCAGATGCAGAACTCTGGTCCAAATATAAGGAAGTCGTCGATAAACATATAATGAAGGGTTACGTTGAAAGACTAGTTGATCAAAGTGAGCCAGGGAAGTGGTATTTGCCCCATCATCCCGTCTTTAACCCGAGGAAGCCAGGTAAACTCCGTGTGGTGTTTGATTGTTCTGCGAAACACGAAGGAGTCTCTTTAAATGATAATCTGTATAGTGGCCCAGATTGCGTGAGCTCATTAGTGGGACTGCTATTGAGATTCAGAAAGTTTACAGTTGCTGTCGCGGCGGATATTGAGGAAATGTTCCTACAGGTGAAGGTGCCAGAGAGTGACAGAGATCACTTGAGGTTTTTGTGGTTTGATGACGGTCCTTGTGGTAAGGTGTCAGAATATAGGATGACAGTGCATCCATTTGGTGCCACATCCTCCCCATTTTGTGCTAATTTTGCTCTACGAAAGGCAGTGTCCACATTTGGTTCTAATGATTTGCTGGACGTCATAGATTGTTGCTTCTACGTGGATGATTGTTTAGCCTCCTTCGATGATGATAAGTCTGCAGTTAGATTTGCAACAAGCATCACTGAAGTGTTAGCTAAGGCCGGCTTTCGTCTAACTAAGTGGGTCTCGAACAGCCTAGACGTTTTGAAGCATATAGATCCAGAAGACAGAGCACCTACCGTACGAGATTTGCCTGTTGATACTCTACCAGTTGAACGCACATTAGGTATGCGATGGGATGTGAACTCTGATACCTTTGGATTTAGTGTTGGTGATATTGATAAGCCAGTTACTCGGAGAGGTGTGCTCTCTGTGTTGTCGTCCGTGTTTGACCCACTTGGATTAGTAGCACCTTATCTACTTCCGGCTAGGAGGTTATTTCAAGAGACATGCAGGAAAGGGTTACAGTGGGATGAACCATTAAGTGAGAGGCAGAGAGAAGAGTGGAAGGGGTGGGTTAACAGTTTAAGAATGCTGAATCTACATTCCGTCTCACGTCCACTTAAGCCGTCGAGAAATCATGATATAATTGACTTCCATGTTTTTTCTGATGCCTCTGAGGTTGGATTTGGTGCAGCCGTATACATCAGAACCACCTTAAGGAATGATATAGATGTTAGCCTGGTGATGGGTAAATCTAGAGTTGCACCTCTAAAGACGGTTTCGATTCCGAGATTAGAACTTAATGCCGCCTTACTAGCTGCGCAGTTATTCACAACGGTGTGTAAAGAGTTGGATTACCCCAAGCATCCCGTAACGTTTTGGACTGATTCGATGTCTGTGATATATTATATACGCAACGAGTCAGCAAGATATGCATGTTTTGTAGCTAACAGAGTATCTCAAATTCGTGAACTAACAACTGTTGAGCAGTGGAGGTACGTACCGTCTGGAAAAAATCCAGCTGATCTAGCCTCGCGAGGAGTTATTGATATGAATGTGGTTAAAAATAAGTGGTGGAAAGGTCCAGAGTTCTTGCTAAGGGCTGATAGTATGTGGCCTCGTAGAGAAGATGAACCACCGATAAACGAGTGTGCCTTGGAGTTGAAGACAAGTGTCAGTTTAACATCTACTCAAGAAAGACATTCAGGTTTACATCCACTTTTTAAATATTATTCTTCTTGGTACAAACTACTGAAAGCGGTTGCGTGGTTGACACGATATGTTACGTATTTAAAGGTCATGCATCTTGCGGGATACGAAAATATGAATGTGGGGCCTTTGAGAGTCGAAGATATTAGAAATGCAGAGTTAGCGATTTTGAGGGCTGCTCAGTGGGAAGCGTGGGGTGAGATTGCCAAGGAGGATAGTCCCGATTTCGCAGATTTCAAGGTGCGGTTAGATAGATTATCTCCGATAGTTTCCGAAGGGATCGCTAGAGTTGGTGGACGTCTACAAATGTTAGAATCGTCATATGAGACCCGTCATCCGGCTTTATTACCTTGCTACCATCCAGTCACTGATCTCATTATAAGACACTACCATGTTCTTGAAGGTCATTTGGGTACTTCGCAAGTACTATCAAGTATTCGATGTAAGTTCTGGATAGTGAAGGGAGGTACTGCTGTCCGTAAAATAATTGATAAGTGCATGGAATGTAAACTCCGAAATGCTCGTCCAGTACAGCAGATGATGGCACCACTCCCAGCGTGGCAAGCTTCTGAAGGGAATTATCCATTTGAGTACGTTGGGGTGGATTTGTTCGGACCTTTTGTAGTGAAGAGAGGCAGAACCCTATGTAAAAGATATGGCTGTTTATTCACCTGTTTGAAAATGAGAGCTGTGCATATTGAGATGGTTCACTCGCTAACTACTGATTCATTCGTGCTAGCATTACATAGATTTATAAATCGCCGGGGTGTACCGAAGATGATGTTCAGCGACAGAGGGACTAATTTTGTTGGCTGTCACGCCGAGCTTAAAGAATACTTCGAAGGTCCTCAAACGAGAGTTCAGGAAGAGTTACTGAAAAGGAACATCGAGTGGCACTTCAATCCACCACATGCCAGCCATAGAGGTGGGCTATGGGAAAGACTTATAGGAATTATCAAGCGTATTTTAAGCTCCATAATTAAAAACCAGAGTTTGAATGACGAAACGCTGGAGACATTTTTTTGTGAAGCTGAACGAATATTAAATGACCGGCCGTTATCACCTGTGAGGGACGACGTCAAGGATTTTGATGTGTTAACCCCAAATAAATTATTGTTATTGAGAGGCAACCCTGGCATAGAGGACGCAAGCGGGGAAGGAATACCTACGATTAAAAGATGGAAACAAGCCAGGCACATGAAAGATATATTTTGGAAAAGATGGTTAAAGGAGTATGTTCTAACACTGCAAACCAGGGACAAGTGGAAAAAGTTGTGCCGAAACTTAAAGGTTGGTGACATAGTATTAGTAGCAGATAAATGTGCCACAGGTAGGTGGCCTTTGGGAGTGGTAGTAAGGCTGATCTGTAGTGGTGATGGATTGGTGAGGACGGTTGAGGTGAGAACTAGTTGTGGCATGTTGGTGCGAGATATCAGAAAACTGTGTCTACTGGAAGGTGCTGAGAGTAGAGAGTCGGAGGATGAAACAATAGATGATTTTCCAACCTAGAGCGTCAACCTGAGAAGGGTTGTAGGCGTACTGCTGTAAGTCCTACAATTCTTCAAAGGGTAGCGCATCAATGAGCAGTCCAATGTGCTCGGTGTGTGATTTTGTACATATGTTCATATTGTATATACTGAATTGATATCATCTGTCATCTAGCTGTTGGTAATTCTGTTTGTGTCCGGACATTCCACAACTTACAATCGTCAACCTGTGAAGGTTTGTAGGCGTACTGGTGTAAGTCCTGCAATTCTTCAAAGGAATTCCATCAAGACATGATCCGCGAGTTTTGTGTACTGTTTGTATATACGTGTGGTGTGTCATATCAATTGGTGTTTTTGGATTCATTGTGTTTACTCGTTGTTTTCGTATCTTGTTGTTATTGCATAATTTTGTTAAAATTTTCGTCGTGATTACTTCTGAAGTTGTTTCCACTCTTCTACATCCGTGAATGAATTGATTGATGTTAAGGACAGCAGATGGGTCGTATACGCCGGGGAGGCTAGGCTATTGCTGAGAATGAAATGCACACGGAGATAATTGTTAGCTGCGGTCCGACACGCCGGGGAGAAAGAGTGTAAACGACTGAGGCTCGCATGCGTCACCGTTACTAGAACTGAGGCAGAATGAGTGACAAGCGATTTCAGTGGTAATTGGTAGTGAGTAGATAAGAGGATGTGCGTAGAGTATCGTGAGGTACTGCTATGGTCACGTTGCATTCTGCAAGAGTCATTCTAGCAAGTGGCGATTGTGTTGCAAGATGTCAAGAGGAGGTCTCTGTCTGGAGGCGCAGGTCGTCAGCGATGTGTGAGATTGTGCTGTGGGTATGCTTGTGGTGTGTTGGCTTTTCTGTTTGTTTTCCATTTCAGCTCTGTCCGTGTGACCCAGGTTCTCGCAATGGCATCCAAGTCAACGTGTATTGGTCGTGAAGGAAAAAAGGGTTGGATCCCTTTTTTGCCGGGGAGTGTCAATGGAGTTGAAGATTGAACGATCAATTCTTGGTTGTTTGCTCAAAATCAACTTCCCCAATTTTCGCGGAGGCATCAATACGACAGTCATCGTCTCATCGGTCGCTGTTCAGAAAGAAGTCAGTAGCAAACCATCAGAAGTAATACAATGATTTATTATTGTAATATTTGTTCACAGACCTTAGTCATACTTGATTTATATGTTGGTGTAACAATACAGAATACTCAAGTCAACAATTGTTGTTTTGGTTTATTCGTTCCTTATTACTAAGCGTTTCTGTAAACTGCGAGGAACAGCGTGGGCCCGAGCGTAGCAAGAGCTGGGCATTAACGGTTTATGAGACGTGGCTGACAAAGGCTCTTACCATCTGCGTAACCAAATTTGCTCAGTGACAACTCATGCCTTTAAGTCAACACTCCGTGAAAACTTCTTCACATTCATGTATTCTAAAATATGGAATAGCCTACCACATAGATGTCAGAACTTGCTCTTTGGTTACAAGCTGCAAACGCTCTCTGTCCAGACTGTTTCACTGTACTGATTACATCAATAAACTATTTACTCCTAGAACGAATCAACTACTAATCTACAACCTAAAAGACGCACTTCAACACGTGCCAATCACGTATCATAAACCGTTAATGCCCAGCTACGCTCGGGCCCGCGCTGTTCTTCGAAGATTTCAGAAACGCTTAGTTATAACGGTTGAAAAAACCAAAACACCGATCTGCCGTTTGATATTTCTTTATTGTTACACCAACATATAAAAAGAATAAGCAAATTAAGGTCTGAAAACAAATATTACAATAATAAATCACAAGATTACTTCTGACGATGTTTCACTCTTCTTTCTGAACAGCGACCGATGAGACGTTGACTGTCGTATTGATGCCTCCACGAAAATTGGGGAAGTTGATTTTGAGCAAACAACCAAGAATTGATCGTTCAATCTTCAACTCCATTGACACTCCCCGGCAAAAAAGGGATCCAACCCTTTTTTCCTTCACGACCAATACACGTTGACTTGGATGCCATTGCGGGAACCTGGGTCACACGGACAGAGCTAAAATGGAAAACAAACAGAAAAGTCAACACACCACAAGCATACCCACAGCACAATCTCACACATCGCTGACGACCTGCGCCTCCAGACAGAGACCTCCTCTTGACATCTTGCGACACAATCGCCATTCGCTAGAATGACTCTTGCAGAATGCAACGTGACCATAGCAGTACCTCACGATACTCTACGCTCATCCTCTTATCTACTCACTAACAATTACCACTGAAATCGCTTGTCACTCATTCTGCCTCAGTTCTAGTAACGGTGATGTATGCGAGCTTCAGCCGTTTACACTCTTTCTCCCCGGCGTGTCGGACCGCAGCTAACAATTATCTCCGTGTGCATTTCATTCTCAGCAATAGCCTAGCCTCCCCGGCGTATACGACCCATCTGCTGTCCTTATCATCAATCAATTCATTCACGGATGTAGAAGAGTGGACACAACTTCAGAAGTAATCACGACGAAAATTTAAACAAAATTACTCAATAACAACAAGATACGAAAACAACGAGTAAACACAATGAATCCAAAATACACCCATTGATATGACACACCACACATATATACAAACAGTACACAAAACTCGCGGATCATATCTTGATGGAATTCCTTTGAAGAATCGCAGGACTTACACCAGTACGCCTGCAAACCTTCACAGGTTGACGATTGTAAGTTGTGGAATGTCCGGACACAAACAAGATTAACCAACAATTACAATAATTGGAACTCACACAATTATTTAACACAAACATATGTACAATCATCACATCAAATGTTGTGAATTCTGCCTTGACGAACTACCCTTGAAGAACTGTAGGACTTACAGCAGTACGCCTACATTCCTTCTCAGGTTGATGATCCAAGTGGAAGTCGTCCGGACACAAACAGAATTACCAACAGCTAGATGACAGATGATATCAATTCAGTATATAAAATATGAACATATGTACAAAATCACACACCAAGCACATTGGACTGCTCATTGATGCGCTACCCTTTGAAGAATTGTAGGACTTACAGCAGTACGCCTACAACCCTTCTCAGGTTGACGCTCTAGGTTGGAAAATCGTTGCAGAGTTCATTTGCTAACTTCCTTCTATCAGCTATATCCTCAAATCTGAACGGCAACACGCCCATGTCATTGTATCGTAGAATATAGATGACCAACAAACACACGACATATCTCATCAACCAAGTGTAGAAACAGAGTAATTTACACCAAAGATAACAGCATTCAAATAGTAACTTGAAACTAGAAATGCCTTTATTCGTGCAAGTCAATTTAACAATTACTCTCTCCTTTACACTTGGCTTATCCTCACTAAACTGACCAATATCTTTCGCCTCTTCAAACGAACTGATACTAGCATAGTCATTGCAGAAGTTACTAGAGTTGATGGGCGTCTGTTTCATTGTGGATGACAACACCAACGACGACTGATTGATACCAGTTGATGAACTTAGCGGTGGATCAAAAGCTGTTGTTGCTCGGCTTTCAGAAAGTTGTCTACCTGCAAGACCACCACCACTGCTGTCTTTTACTATCAGCTCTGGTTTAGCACTAGCATCTGATGATAGGTGGGCTACATGCTGATCAATCACACTGACGGTCTCACAAGTATGCATGCCTTCTGCAACTGCATCTGCATTTATTTCTACTTCACGTTGTAGTTGTACAGAACCTTTGTTCAACTTAGCAGTAGTAGGCATATCCCTCATCTCATAATGATCAACCAAAGACAACTGTGAAGTATCATGATCATTATCACGAATATTCACTTTACCGTCAACTTCATCATTTTCAAACTCTTTAATAACAGAAGTAGACAATTTTGGTTCCTCCTCGCAAATCATAAAAGGTTTTATAACTTCACTCTGACTAGTTATACTTTGTAAACTTGTAGAGTCAGAACTGCACTCTGAAGCAGTAACTCTATTCTGTGACACTCTATTCAACAATGGCTTACCAGTTGCAACTACAGACTTCTTCACAACACCGTTATCGTCACACAATTCGGAGTCAGGACTGGAGTTTACATTTAGCTTATCACTGAACTTGCTCACTGGTTCACAGTTCACCTTTGTATGCACCTCTTGCAAACGTGTAAAACAACCGTGTTTGTCTTGCATCTTGTAACTTATCTGTTGAGGATGTACTACGAAACCTGTTACACTCACTAGGTCTATATGCATTACTAGATATCATGGAGCCTTCTCGATATCCACCTCTCTGAGGCCCTTTCGTCATCAATGATTGCATTTTGATCTCAGACTGCTCTATTCTAGGGGTGAGATCTAATAGACTGGAAAACTTGCTCATAGATTGATTGACACTAGTATTTACCAGTTTCAGGATATCATCAAACTTTGGCTCGATACCCTCATCCTCCATACGGGAGCTTATCTTCACCCACTTCCTTTGCAGTCGAGTAGGTAGACGTCTTGCTATTACTTCTAGTATAAAACTCGAGTTGAGGTCACTCATGCGATTCATCGAAATCATTCCATTCTTGTAAATTAGCAAATTATCTAAAAACTCAGTGAGTGCCTGGGAGTCATCCTGTAATTGACCACCATTACCCTTAACAGCCTCGAATAATTTCCCTGCAATCATCGAAGGTCTTCCAAACCTTTGACGTAATATGCTCATAGCCTCATCGTGGCCCTCTTTTGGCTTCATAAACTTACAACACTGTATAGCTCTTGCAGCATCTCCAGTGCAATATCTCATCAAATACATTAACTTCAATTCATCACTTAATAGAAAACTACTCAACATGATCTCAAACTCCTTTACAAATTGTAAATAATCAGCTGGGTTTCCATCAAAACACCGTGGTTCTAATTTAGGGAGTTTGATGTTCCTATTATCCCTGAACGGCGAAACAGTAACATCAACCATGTCATGCTTAACATCAGACACATCGTTACAATTAACAGACAAGTCACCATGACTTACTTTCCTGTTTGCATCCAAGACACTCTGTCCCTTCTTTGACCCAGGCATTGTTGAACTTGACCCAATTCCAAAAACGTTCCAGATATTGCTTGTTCAAAGAGGACTTGACCGGCACCAGGAAAGATGAACGGTGACTATCCAAACTTTCACCAACTGTTTGAATCCGCCAGATCTGTTTCCATCGTCAGAAACTGTCAATCACGTCTCGTAAACCGTTAATGCCCAGCTCTCGCTACGCTCGGGCCCACGCTGTTCTTTGAAGATTTCAGAAACGCTTAGTTATAACGGACGAAAAAACCAAAACACCGATCTGCCGTTTGATATTTCTTTATTGTTACACCAACATATAAAAAGAATAAGCGAACTAAGGTCTGAAAACAAATATTACAATAATAAATCACAAGATTACTTCTGACGATGTTTCACTCTTCTTTCTGAACAGCGACCGATGAGACGATGACTGTCGTATTGATGCCTCCGCGAAAATTGGGGAAGTTGATTTTGAGCAAACAACCAAGAATTGATCGTTCAATCTTCAACTATATTGACAACACCCATGGCAATCTAAAAACCATAAATAAAAAAAATATGGAATAGCCTGCCACATAGATGTCAGAACTTGCTCTTTGGTTACAAGCTTCAAACGCTCTCTGTCCAGACTGTTTCACTGTACTGATTACATCAATAAACTATTTACTCCTAGAACGAATCAACTACTAATCTACAACCTAAAAGACGCACTTCAACACCCTTGGCAATCTAAAAACCATAAATAAACTAGTCGCATAGATGCATAAAAAGAATAAGTAGAAATAAATGTGTATGTTTACTTTATTACAATGTACAACGAATATAAACATGTATGTTAGACTCCACATGATATTTCTTTGCTATCTGGTATTTTGCTGCTAATCCATTCCCTTCGTTTTGCCTTGTAGTAGAAGTTGCACAGATCTACATCCATACTGAAGCCGAGAAACAATTGAAATCACTTACTCATATATCATCGTTCAGGGTTTTGGTTAGTTATAACTCAGCATCTTTGATAAAATCCACTGTCATCATAATAAGACGCTGTACAACATCCTATACAAACACTGTCAATGATCTAAAATG